GGCGAGAACTCCAGAATTGGTTCACAGAGCCCACGATCTCCTTCGGTTGCCGCGATGGGGAACACCGACAACCGTGGCACCAATCGTCGATGATGATCACACCGTTTTCGAGAATGATGACGGCCGGCAAATCGGCCGTTCATTGCTCGCTCCCGTGACGAAAAATAAGCGCTGTCGCAAGGACAGCTGTTCAGAGCTCGAATTCGTTGAAGAATGATCGCGCTGAAGCTTCTCCCTCGCTCACTTCCGTTATAATCCGTCGTCGGCTGTCGCAGCTCTGATTGAGGGCTCTCCGTCCTGAGATCCAATACCGACTGAGAGAGCCCCTTCGTGCCGTCCTCCCGATCATCAGAATTAGTGGCTGGAGATTTTCTGACGAGCTTCTGAGACCATCGCAGGTGATGATCCGGAGTATCGAAGTCGGGTTCCCGGTCGAGTCCCCTGATCGTCACAGAAAGTTGGACAGAGCCAATGCGGAGGATTTCCAAGGCCGTGGGGCCGATAATCTGCGCGAGGGGTGTTGCTCCGAGCAGAAGACGGAAACGGCTCTCTTAGTCGAACGACGGTCTGTCATACGAATCAGAGACAGCGTGAGGTCGGGCATTGATCCCGCGTTCATGGTTTATCGACGGTCGATCGAGAACTCAAGGCTGAAGGTCAGCGCGGAATACGAACGGCAAACGAGCCACCGACATCGTCGACCACAGCCACCCAGTCGAGCGAGAGGCTCCGGTCGGCAAGGAATGCCTACTAACTTGCATGGTCCTTCTGAGATCGGCCCTTCAAGAGCGAACCGGCAGCAGCGGTGGTGGTAAGGGCGGCACAAGAACAATACTCGGCTCCTCTGACCAACGTACGAATGACCGACCGGCAGCCGGCTGGGCGTTCAGCTCGCCGAGAGCATGACTGCCGCGGCTCGCTGACTCAAAGACCACTCAGCGTCTCTCGTCTGCGTTCGCGGCGGTTGGCCATTAGAGTCACGTTAAAGGACACTCCGGATGAAGAACAAAGCCTTCGATGCTTCCCCGCTGAAGGCTTGCCGACCCCGTCTTCCGAAACCGCCAATACTGCGGCTGACAGGGAGCACGCCGGAGTAAGAGTTGTAAGAGAGCAAAGAAGTGGATTTCCTTTCGACAGCTTCTCCTCCACCGTTGTTCGCCCATCGCGATCACCACTTCAAGAGCTATCATCACCGCTGTCATCGCCATGGAGAGAACATCTCCGAGGGGAAGACAATGTCCCTCGGTGCGAGATGCCTGTCCGCTCGGTCTCCCATAAGAAGGATCATAAACATTCACATAAATACAGATCTCTTTCGAACGGCGTTCCATCGTTCATACAACAATTCACTCACAAGCGACTCAGTGCGGTCGTGTCGCAGTTGTGTGGCAAACGAGAGGACCATGGAACGGAAATACATATCACAACTGGTACGCGGCGAAACCGCATGCGAACGGGAGTACAGGAGCAAGCAACTCCCATTCAGACATGATGCTCGGGATATAATTCTGCTGGACTCGAGATTGACAGGATCGTTGATGATCAGCTGTGAATCAGTCAACAAGCCGTCGAGGCAGCCGCGGCGTGCACATCAATGAGCTCGGACTGCTATTTGTATGCATGACGGTGAAGTGCTACACGAGCCGGTCGAGGGGATCCTGTCTGTAGTGAAATATATATGACTGCAGTAGACAGGGAAGCAAGAGTACCGGGTGGCGACCACTCACTCCTGGAGTACCTACCGAATACTACAGTGGCAGCGAGTAAGAGTGCAACAAAAACGCGAGCCGAGCATCGGCATCGTCGGGAAGTTGGATCGGAGAACGTCCCAGTGAAGGAGGTGAGCGGATAGCAGTTACGCCTCTCGAGGTGGACGCCATGCAGAAGAAAATTGATTAGTTCCTCAAGCCATCGGCGATCACAGAGAAGAATGAGCCTGCCGGAGCTACAGACAGACCGGCGGAGGGCCGAACGACCGGAGGTCGGCCACGGCTGGGTCAGGAAACACGGGCTTGCAACAGCGGGTAAAGAGTCAGGAAAACCTAGCAGGAGCCAGTAGCGTCGAGACGGAAGCTGTCAGCGCAACCGGGCGCCAGGATATAATTTATGTTTACGGTGCATTGAATGAACTCAATGAATGAATGGATCTGCCGACAGAAACGTTCGCCTCCTTGCCTCTCACTCAGCTCTTCAGGTCCCGGAGAGCTCGAGTAATGCTTTACGCGGCGCAACATTCTCTCGCGGCGCGTGATATCTCACTGAGGAGCTGAAGCCTCGAGGAACCGCAGAACACATTCCCTTTTTCTCGCAGTCAGTCGCGACGTTTCTCGTACGCTTCCTCTCCCGGTTGGCGCATGCGAATACTCGCTAAACGAGCTCCTGTACCTTCTCTGATCAACATGCTCCGGAACTCTAACCCCCGAGGTCTCACCGACGACCACAGTCGCCGATCCTAATTTCCGATGTCGTGGAACCTCCGGCAATAAGTCCCGCGACCGACATGGGACCCAAATATTTTTTTCTCGACAGAGAGCCGTCGTGATGTGTGATCATCACTTCGCCTCGAGAGGAGGATCGGGGAGCTCGCCTCGCTTCGGACAGATTTCGCACGAAATTGGATATGCTGAGTTCAGAGTCGAAAAAAAAGTCCGATGACTTCCAGATCCGGCGCGAAGATTGAGTCCAGCGAGATTAAATCTCTCGGAAGCTCTTGGTATTCAGGACTTTCGCGTCGTATTCGAACTTGTGGAGTCCCTCAGAGACTTTGAGGTTGGAACGTGTGTACATTAGGGGTAGAGGCCCGCACTTCGGGACTCTAAGAAACGCACAACGGGAAAAGTGCCGGCATCCATTCTCTGACATAAATACTAAGTCTGCCTTCCGCCTGACACTCCTCGGATCCTCCAGGAGCGACGAACTCCAGCCCGATTATCCGTCGAGTCATACCGAGTTGTCCCGGAAGCCGGTGTCCCTTGGCGTCCGAATATTTGCCGTCTGTCTAAATGAAGCTCTGTTCTCTTTGTGGAATCTACCTAATCTTTTGCTCTGACCTTGCGCAGTTCCCTACGGAGAGCAATTCAAGCTCGCCCGAGACCAGCCGAGAAGCGCCGACGGCAGCAGCAATACAACCGGAAGCATAAATTTGGACTCGGACCGGATGCCCCCTTGTCACCCTGGAATTCACCCCTGCAGTCCGAAGGGAACATTCCTATGTCTGATGAAAGGATAACAACGCCGGCGGATGTATGCGAGTGTTCCGCCGTTAGTTTCATGGTGTGTGTGTGATCCTGCGGATGCTCTATGGACGCATAGTGTGAGCATGCGCATACTTTATCACAAAACATTTACGGTGGACGGGCGGTCGGTTTCCGCGTAGACTCCTCTTCGACGATTCTGTACCCGCGTTTCGCTCTATTAGCGAGGATAGAAATTCCGTCTCCTGAATTATGCATCGACTTGCTTCCGATTCGAAAGGGGCGAAAAATCCATGCGTCGCCCTGTCAATTCTCTCGTCGTGTTTCCGTCTCTCCATCGAGCAGTCGCTGAAAGCAGGCCGAATTTCGATGATTCCAGACTTTGCCCGTGCCCTCTAATTCAGTGTTTCTTTCGGCTGGGCGGACCGCCCTGCGCATCCGCCGACTTTCAAGTAGTCCCCTTCGGATGCCTTGTGGAGCCGCGAGCCGAATCTCAGTGGGTCGCTCCTCGTGCTGATAACGTCTGAAACGCATAGACTCGACCGAATCCCCGATATAGGCGCATCTATGCGGGAAACTCCCGAGCACCACGCATCTCATCCTGTGGAGTGTATCTCTGTGGGCTTGCCGTGAAAGAATTCCTATTCTGGCGCGACATTTTATGGAGGTCGCCCTGCTACGCTAAGTCTACTGAGACATCCCCACATAGACACTGTTCTTCGTACACAAAGTATCCTTATGCTTCCCGATGCATCACTCGGGCCTCCATTTATCGGAGAAGGTCTCTCGAGCGAGTACAATACCGTTGCCCGCACAGACCCTCCCAGCTGATATGGGCCCGCTATTTCGTCATCCGTGAGCATCTTGACATTTTGTTCGAGATGTCTTCACTCAGACCCTGACTCTTTCTCTGGTCAGTGCGAACGTAACCGCCGGTGGGAGGAATGTTGCTGTGATTTCATTTTGCTTCAGAGAAACTCTGTAGCTACAGAGACGAAATGTGAGATAGGGCAGGCAGCAGCAGCTGCCCTTGATGATGATGATCTCTGCACTTCGTTCTGGATCGTTAACGTCAGCATGAAAAACTGAGAGCCAGATGGGCAGGCTCACTGACAAGCGCACTGACGAGCAGAGACCGTCTGCTCTATTCGAGCGTTTGAGCGAGCGAGCGGACAATCGGTCGAATGAACAAGTTCCCGGGCAGAGCTTTCGCTAATGCCACGCAGGAACTTTTGAGGATACGGGCTCAGATGTAGGATCGTAATCCCTTCGTCTATACGGTCTGAATAGCACAAGCGTCTGCTCCCTTGTTTCATTTCAGAAGTCGTTGAGATCTCGCCCAAGAGTAGCCACTTTTAGAAGAAGCAAGCCAGTCAATCGCCCATGGGAGCGAGGTGAGTAACATGTCCAACATTCCTTGTCCTCATAGGGAAGCTCACGATGGCATCGGAATTCGTCGCCTTTCTACATGCTATTTGACAGGGAACTTCGCCGAACACTGTATTAAATGCTATTTTCGACCCATTGTGAGATACTCTCCCATGTCGGAAGCAATACTGGAGGATATTCCTCGGCCGAAGCAGCGAAATGAGCCGCTTGAGGATTCGGATGATCGCGAGATGAAAGCAACGACACCGGATTCTCGATCGCTACTCCCTCGCCTCCATAAATCCGATGCTCATTTGTGTATGTATGTACATTTTCGAAGAAGAATCCGTCGGAGGGCAAAATACCATAATCGGTAAAGGTCTGTTGATGGCAGGAATCGGAAACAAGCCGTGTTTCCGGAATGATCCTAGAACTCACCTGTTTAAAACCTCTGTACATGAGTTGGAGCTCTCTACGGTTGAACTTAGTCAGCTGGCACAGAGTCTCAATGGCCTCTGGCTTATAGTGAACGGTCGGGCCCTCGAGCTCATCGAGTTCGCTGTCTGGAAAGAAAATGCACACACGTTATTGGTTTCCGAAGAACGAGCACTGTCAGAGAATGTCGTGGTCGAGGAATTCGTGCTCGACTCCCTTCCCATCGAGCTCGCTCGACGGGTGGATTCGTAGTATAGATCAATGTTCGGTGACGCTCAATGTCATAAATTATTGTATTCACAATTCCTACTACATGCGATTCATCTCTTGCCAAGCGAAAAACCTCGTCGACCTATTGTTTCGGAAAACTTCAAAGTCTCGAAACCTCGCTCACGAACGAACACGGCTGGGAACGCATCGTATCTATTCCGAGTCCTGCCGACTTCGTTGGAGATCGACAGAATTATTCGGGTCGGTGGTGACCGAGTCGGGAGCTCCGACTTAACTACACATCCAGAGCCGACGTGCCCGGGGGCATTTACTTGCGCCCGCCTGAATTTACGCCTCCCGGTCCACTTCGCTTCCTCAGCCCTCTCCTGAATCGGGGTGCCGAGGAACTCACTTGAGCATCCCAGGCTAACAAGGCCGTCTTCCTCAAACCAATCCATATCACGTCATATGCGGGTCTCGCAAGAGGCTCGAGCCCCGTGGAGTGTTCCTCATCCGATGCCTCAGCGCAAGTACACCATGGAAGATCCGCGAGCTGTCATCGTATACGATAAACTTCCCGCTTGATTGGAGCTGACGACTCCTCAAGCGAGGCAGCGGAGGCATTCTCATCGACCTTCAGGCTTTCATACAACTTTCGTTGAAAGCCACTCGAATCAGCGATCAGAGACCTCGATAGATATCTATGAGTTCCGAGCTGATAAACAGACTCTAATCGAGTCTATAACCAATGACTTGGGGTTCCGATCCCGGATACATCGATCTGTATCGGGGGTCGCTCGATATGAGATTTTCCGGTGCCAGAAATTCGTGGGCCTTGATGGAATGATTGTGGTCCCGAATCGGTTGGCAGGTCGAGAGGCATTTTCTCCCCACAGGCCGGACAGGGAGTGTGGACTAATGGGATGCGAATACTTTCGCTCTCCGAGGGCGACGTAACCGAATGCCGAATGAGGGTGATTGTTACATGAAACGTGTATGTCGGAGTTCCCCGCGATTTCTTCTGCATCCCCTCGCCGAAAGCAAAGTCTTGATGTGATCCGTAGATCTAATTTGCTGGAAAGCTCGGATGTCTTCCGTTATCTGAGCGGGCGAGACCAGAAGCGGGAGCGAGTGTCGTCGGCCGGCACCCCGGCCAAGCAAGGGCGGCCTACGTACAAAGCATACATGACGAGCCGGAGAAAGTCGAGTCTTCCTAAATTGAATTTCTCCATTTGCAGGCTGCCCCGTCGTGACCAGCCGGCCATACTTGTTGCCACTCGCAATATAATAAATATACATTCATCCGTCCGTCCATCGGGAAAAAGGCATCGACCAAGCCCCGTGGCGGGGCTTAGGGACGCCCGGGGAACGACACGCACAAGAAGCAGTGCGAGCAAGAGAATGCGTTCAAGATACACTTCAGTATGATGTTCATATAAAGAGAACGATGCGTCTCAGTGGATTGAGTTTGTCGCGGGACGAGGGGAAGTCGGCAGAAAGAAGAAGAGACTGAAGGGCAATGCATTCTTACAATCTACATTCGATTATATCGGCTGCTATGGCCGAGTGACTACTCTGTTGACGAACGACGGGTGCTCCTCCGCTTCGCCGCTGCTTGTCCCGCATCGACTCAAACTCCGTTTTGAACTCCGACTTTTCTTCGAATCGGTGCTTCGAGCACTCTGTCCCCCACGCTCTGGCTAGACAAAACCTCACCGCGACGCACACTTCACTTATGCACATGGCTCAGTCCGTGACTCTTCCATAAAACCCCAATGCTGAATCCCCGTTCTGTCGCTCGTCCCACTATGCTCGGCCCTCTGAACTGTGGATAAACTCGAATGGTAGAAACAACTTCCCTCCGGCAGTCCTCGCAAGCGGTTTGTTCTCCAGTTGCTTCCCCAGCTCCTACGAGGTATAAAATGTTCCTCAAACTCGCGACTCTACGAGTGATCTCCTCAGCGTGCGATGTATGTCTCTCAGGTTGTGCTCGAATAATTGATGGCGATCAGCATATGTATATGATTTCTGAGTTCCTCTGAGCGAGTTTTCGGAGCTATCCGGGGTCCCGATGGTTGCGCTGTCTGTTCCTTCATCCGGATAAGAGAGTAGGCTTTTACCGGGCCGTTACGCATCTGGTTCGACATCTCGTTATATCGCCGACGAGGGTTTAAATTCGTATGAGTGACTCGGGCGCAGTTGGATCCAGTGAACAGATCTAGTGGTATGGGTACGCACGGTAAGACGTAAGCGAAACGAATTCCGGAGAGCGAGTTGCCACCTCATGTACCCCACGAGAGGTCGAGCTCCGCCGGGCTCCGTTCTAAAAACTGAGGAGATTAGTCGGGACCTTCTTAGACTAATTCACGATTCTGTCGATGTACGTGCATGTGAGCCTACTCATGAGCATAAGCCGCATCCAGCGAAGGCTCTCCTGACTCCTCCAACTCGGGTCGTCCTGTTTGAGCTCAACCCTCAATGACTCTCGTTGAGCAGATAAATCCCAACCATCGGCCGATTGTTCTCTTTAGACATTGGACACACAATATGTCGAAACCTGCAGAAGAGCCGAGCTGCAATCGGTACCCCGACACTGCCCAACTTAGTTCCGCGGGAGCATGGTCACAGTCCCTCGCCCACGAGGCCGGCTGCTGATGGGCAACTTCGATGAGCAAGAAACAATCTTGAGCGTCTGATGGTAACGTGATCATTAGCTTGCTCCCAAGGGATAAGGAGGGTCTCGCTATTATCAAACTATCGCACATGCGGAGGAAGTGAACGGACACATTCGCTTGTTCCTCCATCCGGCCTCGAACCCTGGAGCCGAGTCCGGAGGGGACGAAGCTTCCTTGGAGAGAGCTTCTAGAGAATCGCTCCCTTCAGGAACGAAGATCTCCGGTTTCATGAACGTTCAGACGCTTTCGTTGAGCCGCCGGACAGACGTCGACCCCGATTCCGTTCCGCGTGACAAATGTCACCCAGATCTTGGGCCTGCTAGATTAGCTCATGAACGTCTCGCCGGACACCGGCACGAAGTCGCCGTCACGACCGAAGTTATTGGTGATGTAAGTCATCCGAGTCGCGGGACACGTGCGAAAGAATAATGTCTCGCTTTCCCGATTACCTGTGAGTACATCTGCTGGATCTTTCTTTCGCGGTCGTTTATGCGGTCCTTTGTGCTCTGTCGAATTGATACTTTGCATTTTTCTCCAGTTCTCCTAGCTCTCGCGCAGACACTAAACACGGCCGTGATGTGTACTATGTTCCCAGCAGAATTTCCACTAAACTTCGGCACGGATTTCAGAGCACACAACGCGCGCGGTCAGCCACTTTCACTCGTCACAAAACCGTTCGGCTTAGCCCCTCGGCTTTCGGAACCGAATCTCGGGCTTGGAATGCTTTCCGGTCGTCTTCCGCCGCTATAAGCACGATCGACGTCTGTACAAATTAGTATTGCCGGTGCATCTGGCAATACGCGCTCAGATAAACTGCTGAGCATTTCGCTCAGTCGCGACCGGCGGCATCCAGCTAGCCGAGCACGCCGGTTTGCCTCTGATGGTCCCTGGGTTCGAGGGTAGAGTTGAAGCCCATGAGAGAAGAATCGGTGGCTTGTCTTGACTGAACCAGGCGCGGTCAGGACTGAAAGACAAGCAGAGCTAGCTAGCTAGCAAGCAACCGACCACCGGCACTATGCTCGTAGAAGCAGCAAGTGAAGCGCGGGGAGTGGTGCGACATAGAGACAGTCATACAGGAGTTTTCCATAGAGAGCCCGCCTAGTCTCGTAAATACTGGGTCTCTCACTCGGCATCTTCTCACTCATCTCATTCATTGACGTTCCATTTGATCGCCGTTTCTGGTTGTGGCAGGTCCTTGTTCTACTGACACTCTATAAAAATGTCCACGAGCAGACGTAAGCGTTGCTGGGCTTGACTCGAAGCCGGGTTTGACATTAAAATGTTATTCGTACCGATCGAACGCTTCATTCTGTGCAATGACCGCCCACGATCATGTGCCAAAGTTACTCCCGGACTAGAAGGGAAGAGCGTGGCGACACGTACATAAAATCCGCCTCTCGTCTTAATTTCTGTTGTAATGGGCGGGAGAATAATTATTGTTTCTCACATTCGGAGGATGCTTTTCGAATCAAAGACACGATCTCATGTCTCAGCGTGCAAGTGGGTCATTCGAATCGCCGTGAATCTCATTGTGAATCATCGCCTGTTGCGCTGAGCTGCGCAATATTATTCGCGACATATTCTCGCAGGTAGAAGCGAGTGCCTCAGCTGCATGTGAGATGACCAATGAGAGATGACTAATTATTGTAAGTTTGTGACAGTCGCTTGCGGATCGTCCGCCCGTCGTCTTCCGCTCGATGGTCGATGAGAGCTGACGACCGCCGCGAGGCAGCTCAGGAATTGGCAAAGGCTTAGCGCACGCCACGTATGATACAGAAAGGAAGCCGTAGGGGCCGTAAGCTGTCTTATTGCATTTGCCCATGGCATATGGGGACCGCGACAGAACCTGTCGAATAATTGATGAGACCAAGCGAGAAATCGAGAGTCTACTGGGACCGAAGGCTCACAAAGGCACCAGGAGCAAGTACCACGCATTAAAGAGCCCTCGCCGCAGTGCCGATGGCTGTGTGTGAGCCCGCTCGATTCCTGTCGACTCGACTGCGGCTGCCGCTCCGCAAACATCTCTCAAGACCGTACAGTTCCTCAATAAGCAATAGCTCGACGTTCCGTTCTCAAGGGGAGAGTACATACACGCTCTCGCTTCACATATACACAGAGTAAATCAACCGGTCGGTCAGACTCTCGTTCGCTCCTTCACCCAATGACACTGACGGAAGTCTCCGAGGCGCGTTCGTTCGCGTCCCGAATCATCGACATCAACCACGATCCTCCAGCAAATCCCG